GGAAATTATTTCCCAGTAAAGTAGGCCTTAGACAAGGATGTGTGATGTCACCGTGGTTGTTTAATATATTTATAGATGGGGTTGTAAGAGAAGTAAATGCGAGGGTCTTGGCAAGAGGCGTGGAGTTAAAAGATAAAGAATCACACATAAAGTGGGAGTTGTCACAGTTGCTCTTTGCTGATGACACTGTGCTCTTGGGAGATTCTGAAGAGAAGTTGCAGAGATTGGTGGATGAATTTGGTAGGGTGTGCAAAAGAAGAAAATTGAAAGTGAATACAGGAAAGAGTAAGGTTATGAGGATAAACAAAAAGATTAGGTGATGAAAGATTGGATATCAGATTGGAGGGAGAGAGTATGGAGGAGGTGAATGTCTTCAGATATTGGGAGTGGGACGTGTCAGCGGATGGGTCTATGAAAGATGAGGTGAATCATAGAATTGATGAGGGGAAAAGGGTGAGTGGTGCACTTAGGAGTCTGTGGAGACAAAGAACTTTGTCCTTGGAGGCAAAGAGGGGAATGTATGAGAGTATAGTTTTTACCAACGCTCTTATATGGGTGTGAAGCATGGGTGATGAATGTTGCAGCGAGGAGAAGGCTGGAGGCAGTGGAGATGTCATGTCTGAGAGCAATGTGTGGTGTGAATATAATGCAGAGAATTCGTAGTTTGGAAGTTAGGAGGAGGTGCGGGATTACCAAAACTGTTGTCCATAGGGCTGAGGAAGGGTTGTTGAGGTGGTTCAGACATGTGGAGAGAATGGAGCGAAACAGAATAACTTCAAGAGTGTATCAGTCTGTAGTGAAAGGAAGGCGGGGTAGGGTCGGCCTAGGAAAGGTTGGAGGGAGGGGGTAAAGGAGGTTTTGTGTGCGAGGGGCTGGACTTCCAGCAGGCATGCGTGAGCGTGTTTGATAGGAGTGAATGGAGACAAATGGTTTTTAATACTTGACGTGCTGTTGGAGTGTGAGCAAAGTAACATTTATGAAGGGGTTCAGGGAAACCGGCAGGCCGGACTTGAGTCCTGGAGATGGGAAGTACAGTGCCTGCACTCTGAAGGAGGGGTGTTAATGTTGCAGTTTAAAAACTGTAGTGTAAAGCACCCTTCTGGCAAGACAGTGATGGAGTGAATGATGGTGAAAGTTTCTCTTTTTCAGGCCACCCTGCCTTGGTGGGAATCGGCCAGTGTGATAATAAAAAAAAAAAATAATAATAAAAAAAAAAAAAAATAATAATAATAATAATAATAATAATAATAATAATAATAATAATAATAATAATAATAATAATAATAATAATAAATACGATAGAATTGAAGAAGGAAATTGTACAAAAATACGAGGGTTGAAGCAGTGGTGGAGGAAGTGGTTGACCCATCGTCAGTGTGGCTTTGTTTATGCTGGAGTGAGTATTAGTCTCCGTGCTCTTCCAAACATTTCACAATAATTCATTGTATTTGGTGCTTGTAGACTGAGTGTGACTGGATTGGTTGAGGCAGTGGTAGAGGCAGTGATAGAGGCAGTGGGTGAGACAGTGGGTGAGGCAGTGGTAGAGGCAGTGGTAGAGGCAGTGATAGAGGCAGTGGTAGAGGCAGCGGTAGAGGCAGTGGGTGAGGCAGTGGGTGAGGCAGTGGTATTTACTAACATATGTTATAAATAATAATAGTACATGTTAATATTAATAACCACTCCAGTCACACTCTATCTGCAAGCACCAAATACAATGAATTATTGTGAAATGTTTGGAAGAGCACGGAGACTAATGCTCACTCCAGCATAACCAAAGCCACACTGACGATGCGTCAACCACTTCCTCCACCACTGCTTCAACCCTCGTATTTTTGTACAATTTCCTTCTTCAATTCTATCGTATTTATTATTATTATTATTATTATTATTATTATTATTATATTAATATTATTATTATTATTAGCAGTAGCAGAAATGTTTGATTCTTTGCTGTGTTCAAGAGTAAACACATGATGTCACCTTCCAATACCTGTCCGAATAGCCATTCTAATATGCAGTCATGGATGGGTTTACATTATTTATACTGTAGTTTAATAGCAAATAATGAACAAACAAAACACTCACCACACAGTGGTGGGAGGGCTGGCTGCCAGTTGCAGGGGTCGGAGGGAGGGTAGTAAGGACTCGTGGCGGTAAACTTAAATATGATTTGGCGGCTGGGAATTTGGCGGTTGGGAATTCGCGAATGTGTGAAGCCCGCGAAAGTTGAAAACGCGAATGTTGAGGGAGACCTGTATAATTTTGAGGAAAATATCATAGATGGATTAATGAAAATGCCTATATTGATGTTAAATAAGACATTTAGTGTGCCCAAGAGTGATTATTATTACCTAGTATTGGCGTCATGAGTAGAGAGAGACTTAGCGATTTTAATGTGTACCTGCACACCAGCACAGTGTGTAAGTATATTTAGGTACAGGTACACATAAGTATAATTATCAGAGTACATATAAAATATGCAGTAACTTTAAAACACTTGAAATTTTGGAAAGTTTCCCGACATAATAGATGTGGTCACGGAAAATGTAAACAAACCGGGTGGGGGCCGCCGTATTTAAAAGACCGCTTGCCGTATAGCAAATTTTGGTCATAATTTGACATCACCGTATTAGCGGAACGCCGTAAGGCAAAATGCCATAAAGCGGGGCCTGACTGTACGAGCAAGTTGAGTTACGAGCTAGGTCATGGAACGGATTAAACTCGTAAGTCAAGGTTCCGCTGTATTATATAACTTACTAAAATCAATGTATTTTTTCTATATGCCCTTTAAAGTTGACAAACATCAAAACGTCCCACTCTTTGTTGTCCATTACATCATTAGCTCACTCAATTTTTAGATTTGTGTTTCACTGTGGTATAAAAGGTCAGAAAAACTTTTTGGATGAACCATATTATAAAAATCCACATGATGGATAAAAGCCTTCCACAATGGTAACTTCTTACCCACATTCCAACACAGGAAGGAAGGGGGAGGATTATCTTCCTTCCCAATTTGAAGATTTATAGATCATTAATTATTCTATTTTAGTAGCTCATCCATTAGGGATTAACCTTCTGACTAATTTATTTAATTCCAGTGTTATGGAATGGAATAGATTAACTTCCAGCTGTGGTTCAGGTGCTTGTTTCCTGCTTCTCAAACAGCCTGTCCCTGTTCACCCTATCAATTTATCTGAGTCTTTAGTATATCTTCCCTGGTTCTTCTGTCATCCAGGGTTGTTAAATTCAGTTCCTTTACTCTCACTTTACAGTTCATACCCCTTAACTCTCGAATTAATCTCATTGCATACTTCGCCAGTTTCTTAACATGCTTCCTCAGGTGTGGGTTCCATACTGGTGTGGTATATATACATGCATGTGTTTGTGCACGTGCGTATACATGCATGTCCTTAACTATGTTTTTACAGGAGTTGAGTCTTAGGTCCTGGTCCTGCCTCTCAATTTGCTGCTTGCTAGATTCACTCCTAGCCTTGTGTGTCCTATCATACCTAGTCTTTTAAAACTATGTATGGAGTCTGCCTTCACTTCTTCATTGAGATCATTCCACTTCCTGACCACAATGAGATTGAAGAAACACTTCCTAATATCCCTGTGACTCATCTGTGTCTTTAGCTTCCAGCTGTGCCCCCAGGTACCTCTTTTCCCACCTCTCAAACAGCCTGTCTTAGTATTTTGTATGTTTTTATTGTGTCTTCCTTAGTCCTTCTGCCCTCCGAGGTCTTTAGATTCAATTCCTTTAGCCTTATCCTCACAGCTCATGCCCTTTAGCTCTGGAACTAGTCCCACTGCATCCTTCTGCACTTACTCCAAGATCTTAACATGCTTCCTCAGGTGTGGGTTCCATAGTAGTGCTACATACTCCAACATGGGCCTGATGTATGTTGTATGAAGGTCCTAGAATGAATCTTTGTTAAGATTCCTGAAAGCCCCTCTCAGATTTGCCAGGAAAACATAGGCTACAGGGGTTGTTTGATCTGAGCCTCTGGCAACATGGTAGGCAATATGCTTCCTACCTGGTCCTCTTCAAATGATGTCTGCAGTAGGTTACCTACCTACCTACCTCCCTCTCTCTCTCCCTCTCTCTCCCTCCCCCCCTCCTCTCTCTCTCTGTGTATGTATGAACATACACTTGCCTATTTGTGCTTGCAGGGGTCAATTCATAGATCCTGGTCCTGCCTCTTAAATTGCCACTCTTCAGATTCACTCCATCTTAGACTCATGGGCCCTATCAGACCTGCTCTTAGGAGCCTGCCTCCACCACTTCATCACCAAGATCATTCCACTTTCCGACTACTATTGAGACTGAAGAAATATTTCTTAACATCTAATAAGTGTCCTTGAGTTCCCATTTCTTGCCTCTTGCCTGTCTGCATTATCAATTCCTCTTGAGTATTTTGTATGTTATCATATCCCCTCTGATTCTTCTGTCTTACAATGTCACTTGATCCTTGTAGCTCTGGAACAAACCTTATTGCATACTTCTGCATTTTCTCTAGTTTCTTAACATGCTTTTTCAGGTGTAGGTTCCATACTGGTGCTGTATACAAGATGGGCCTAACATACATTGTATGAAGGGCCCAGAATGACTGTCTTGAGATTCCTGAAACCTATTCTTAGATTTGCCAAAGCAGTGGTTGCACACGTTATTCAACTGATGTGAGCCTTTGGTGTTATACTGAGTAATATGCATACCCATAGATCTTTTTGTGTCAAGTCTGCAGCCTCTATCTGTTTTTTTGCTCCTTCCCAATTTTCATAACCTTGCATTTGCTGGGGTTGATTTGAAGCAACCACTTATCTGACCATATCTGCAATGTCACCCTGCCTCGGTGGGAGACGGCCGACTTGTTGAAAAAAAAAAAAAAAATCTGCAATGTGTCCAGATCCCTTTTGAGCCTTTCCTTGTCCTCATCTGTGTGTGTGTGCACCCACCCTTGACTCATTTACAGCCATTCAATTTCAAGCATTTAAAATTTGTAGCCTTTGACAATTAGCCCTATTTTAAAACGTTTAACACTGAATAATCATACAGATACACACTGACCTGTGAGCACCGATCACACTGAAGGTCCTGAAGAACATGTGCCATGGAGTTTGTGTGGATAAGAGCAATCAGCTGATGTTGTATTTCACCAGATGTATAGCTTGTGCTACATACAGGGCACAGCCACACATGTCTGTAAATATCCAATAAAACTATACAAGAATCCTGGATGAATTGGCTACGAAGGTAGAAGGTAGACTGATACCAAAAATATGAATGAAAGGACAACTACAAATACTCAGGGTATCTTTACTGGATATGTTTCAGACTTGAGACTTTGGTCACTCAACATGATCATTTGGAGTGGCCAAGACTGAAGGACCAAAATGTATCCAATAAAAACTGACCCACAGGACTAACAAAAAATTAGTAGAGAAATAGAAAAAGGTATTGTTACTCTAGTTTACATAAAAAGAGGGAAATACCAAGTGAAAACAAAAGGACTGTAACTGAGTATAACAAGTGAACTCTGTTCTTAGGATAAGAAATGTAATTAAATAGAACTTTCAGAATGAGATTAACTTTTATCTCTCATGATCAAAATGTAACAGACAACGAATCCTACATTTTAATTAACATAAGCTTATGAATACTAGGTAGTAGGTTGGTAGACAGCAACCGCCCAGGGAGGCACTACCGTCCTGCCAAGTGAGTGTAAAATGGAAGCCTGTAATTGTTTTACACGATGGTAGGATTGCTGGTGTCTTTTTTTTCTGTCTCATACACATGCAAGATTTCAGGTATGTCTTGCTACTTCTACTTACACTTAGGTCACACTAAACATACATGTACAAGCATATATATATACACACCCCTCTGGGTTTTCTTCTATTTTCTTTCTAGTTCTTGTTCTTGTTTATTTCCTCTTACCTCCATGGGGAAGTGGAACAGAATTCTTCCTCCGTAAGCCATGCGTGTTGTAAGAGGCGACTAAAATGCCAGGAGCAAGGGGCTTGTAACCCCTTCTCCTGTATAAATTACTAAATTTAAAAAGAGAAACTTTTGTTTTTCCTTTTGGGTCACCCCGCCTCGGTGGGATACGGCCGGTGTGTTGAAAGAAAGAAGCAGCAGCAGCTTGTGAATGTGAGAATTACTTTACAATGGCTATACTGATCTGTTCCTGTCAAGGGAAAGGGAGGGTGAAAAGAACAAGCACCTTGAAGCTAGTGAAGGTCTTCTGATCAAGACACCAAGCCATATAAGCTCTAAACCATAGTGGCTAATGCGACGGGCTGGAGTTTTGAGACTCTCTGACCGCGGGTTCAATCCCGGCCGGGGTATGGTTTGTTTGCAATCGTGTCATTATGATTTCGTGAGTCATATAAGCTCTAGAAAAGAAATGAGTTTTCTGCTGACTTACAAGTACGAACAGATTTTTGACTCTTGAACATACATGGGCAGGCTGTTGAACAATCTAGGAGTTACATAAGAAAAGGCTCATTTTGGAAATGATTTTTCCATAACAGCAAGAGACTCAATCCATCTAAAAGCGTTAGCGGCTATTCAGCAAGAAACTTGGGTTCATTACACTTAATAGCTTTAAATGTTAATAAACACTAAATTTAGTGTTTGCCTTGATGGATAAAAGTCAAACTTTATCTACAACAAGGCACTATTCATCAGACATATCTATAAATGTACAACAGAATCAAGTACATATACAATACCCACACTCCATTCTCCACAGATTGATGAGGATCCTTGCAGAGGTCAATATTACGGCAGTGATTACAAGCACGACAAATGACCTCTGGCAGTACGTAAGAAACACACGGGTCTTTCCATTCAGCCTCTGGGGAAAATTCTCCAATATTCAAGAGCTTTAAGAGATCTCTGCGCAGCTTACAAACCTGAAATATGGAATCTCTTCAAACTGAGTGCTGTAAGAGATACAAGATACCTGTATAATTTATCCCGAATAAAGGATTTTTTCCAATGTTTACATTAAGAGGATTTCAAGAGAAACTAACTAATCCACAAATGGTATCACTTCTTTATAAAGACAATAAACATATGCACTTACTTCACTATGATATGAATCTATTATTCATAGTACAGTATTTAATGGTATTGTTTCTACAGTAAATGTTTAGCTGGTCTATAAGCAATTTATATCTTCCCTCTTACATGGTGGGGGATTTTACATATTGTGCTTGAAAAACTATTGTCTCCCAAGCACAGTCTATTGATGAAAAGCCAAGAATTTTAAGGACATTTCCTAATTTGTCAAAATTTAACTAAGTGTGGGAGGTCATGCACTGTTATTCCCTGAAGACTGCTTCCAGGGGTCACCCCCATTGCCCAGTCCCATACCAGGCCTCATGTGTGGGGAAAATTAAGAAAAAAAATTGAGAGAGCATGTTTTCCAAAACTTTCTTTCTGGCACAGGTGTCTCCTTACAAGAAAATCTGTTTGATCTCACTGAGTAAAGCTTTTGTGTCAGTGCCCCTTTGTGTACATGTGCTCGTGAGGCAGCATTACCCATGATACACTGCATGGACCTACATTTTTCCTAGGCATGATGTGGTGGTAGGTGACCAAAATACTGAGCTGGAGGCCTAAAATAGTTTTGCCTGTCTATGTGAAAATACAAAAATTACCTGTATAAATACTTGCAGTTTGTTCCCCTTTATATACTACTGCTTCTCTACATAGTTCTATTTTTTTGTAAATGCTACTGAAAGAAGTGCATCCAAAATTGAACAGCATATGAAAATGCCATCATAATATGTGCTATTCAACTTTGGATGCAGTTTTTCAACTGAATTGCTTTGGTGTCTTTTGAGACATTAACCCTTAAACTGTCCAAACGTAGATCTACATTCACTTGCGTGGTACTCCGAATATTTTGAAAAATAAAAAAATAATTTTTTTTTTTTTAAAATGAAGAGCACATTTTTTCTACATGTTATAGGATTAAAAAAAATTTTTAGGGTCAGTACTTACCGAGATACAAGACTGAAGTTGGCTCTAGATGCTCACCTGTCAGCAACATCGACTTTCTTTCTCGTTTTTATTTTAATTTATATACTTTTTATGTTCTAATAATTACAATTTATAATAGGTCTTGTAATTTCATAGCCAATCTTTGTTCTGACACTAACATTAGGTACTGAAATACTGCACAACTAGTCACAATCACATTGACAGGTGAACATTTACACCTGCCTGGGTTATTTACTATTGTCTAGAAATATATACAAAGTATTTATAGGTCCCAGCAATGTTTTAGATACCCCTGGCATATACCTTGAAGCATGGTGTTATGAACGGCATTCCTATACTGTTGACAGCCTAGTGACATTTGATAAATGCCTACTGCTCCAGCTAACCCTCGCTGTATTTGTTATCACTGTTACACACAAACATGTCTTGTCTCTCTGTCTATTTATCTGTCTGTCTGTCAGTCTATCTGCCTATCTATCTGTCTGTCTATTTGTCTGTCCATCTGCCTGTCTGTCTCTGCCTGCCTGTCTGTCTGTCTCTGCTTATCTGTCTTTGTGTCTGCCTGGAGTATACATATATCACACTCCTTGAAGAATCGTGTTATGGCATCTGTTATCAGCTCGGTGACATTTGATAAATGGGTACTTGGGGAACCCTGGCTTTATTTGTTTTCACTGATACACACAAGCATGTTTCTGTCTATCTGTCTATCTTTGCCTGGAATTTTTGGGTTATCCTAGGTAATTTACACTGTGTATAATAACTGTACTTATGTGTACATGTGAGACAGATATATAGATAGAGATATAGATTGGCAGAGATATGGACAGATAGAGATATAGACAGAGAAACAGCCAGAGACAGCCAAAGCAAGCCAGCCAGCCAGCCTGCCGAATACATAAGAACATAAGAAAGAAGGAACACTGCAGCAGGCCTACTGGCCCATGCCAGGCAGGTACATGTCACCCCCCCCCCATGGCCCACTTAGTCAGGTCATATCCATTGAAGGAAGGAGTATGACATCAGACCTAGTAGCACAAGCTAGTCAGATCCAACTCACACCCACCCACACTCACTCATGTATTTATCTAACCTGTTTTTACTTTCCTCTTAAAATGGGAGTGTTAATGCGACATGGCATCAGTGAAACCCTGGTGTTTGCCACGCTGTTTGCTCTAGCTGGCGCTCAATTGAACTGGTGCTCCCACAAGGTACTAAGTGCTCCCAGATTTTTTTAATAGTGCGCACATTGAACGCACAGACCCATTCTTTCATGTCTAGGCGACTCAAGCCTATTGTGCCAAATTTGGAGGAATGAAAAATAAAACGTTGATCTACGTTTGGAGCGCTATGCATGCAAACGTAGATCTACGTTTGGACAATTTAAAGATTAGTACAGTAGACTGTCATTCAGCATGGTAGTTACGTTCCTGAAAATGCCGTTGTTAGGTAAAATCGTGTTAGATGAACTGAAGAACTTATGGGAAAAATAGGGTTACGTTCCTGGGAGCCCCCCAAAAAGCAAAACAACTTTTTTTTAGGCCTCAACATCTTACAAAAATTAAAGTGAATATGCAGTTGTAATTCATTGTTGTGATGTATTATGTTGTTTTTACTGTTTAAGACTACAAATGTAACAGAAATAATAGTATTTCTTACCTTAAATTGTGGGTGTTGGTGTTTGTGGATGATTGTGAAGAGAGTGGAGAATTATGTTGTGGCCCTACTGGGCTGAGGTGGATGGTAGAGGTTCTGGTACTGAAGGTACTGATGGTTGGACTGGAGTGTCTAACTTTAAGTCATTCAGTCAGTCAAGTCAATAAATCATTCAGTCTGTCAAGTCACTCAGTAAGTCAGTCAAGTCACTCAGCCAGTCTGTCATGTCACTCAGTAAGTCGGTCAAGTCATTCAGTAAGTCAGTCAGTCAAGTCACTCAGCAAGTCAGTCAAGTCATTCAGAAAGTCAGCAAGTCACTCAGTAAGTCCATCAAGTCACTCAGTAAGTCAGTGAAGTCAGTAAGTCAATCAAGTTATTCAGTAAGTCAGTCAAGTCACTCAGTATGTCAGTCATGTCACTCAGTAAGTCAGTCAAGTCATTCAGTAAGTCAGTCAAGTCATTCAGTAAGTCAGTCGTCAAGTCAGTAAGTCAGTCTAGTTATTCAGGAAGTCAGTCAAGTCATTCAGAAAGTCAGTAAGTCATTCAGTAAGTCCATCAAGTCATTCAATAAGTCAGTCAAATCACTCAGCATTTCAGTCAATTCATTCAATGTCACTCAGCAAGTCAAGTAATTCAGAAAGTCACTCAGTAAGTCCATCAAGTCATTCAGTGAAGTCAGTAAGTCAATCAAGTCACTAAATAAGTCAGTCAAGTCACTCAATAAGTCCATCAAGTTATTCAGTAAGTCAGTCAAGTCACTCAGTATGTCAGTCAAGCCACTCAGTCAAGTCAGTAATTCAGTCATCACTCAGTGTTACAAAAAATGCGATTTCTAATAAGCATAGAGATCTCCAGTGAATACTAGAAAGGACTGCCCTTGTAGCATCCAGCCTGTTACTGGGTTTTTGTAACAAGTAGTCAGTATCCTGGTCCAATTATCCATTAGAATTCAGTAAGATTTAATAGCGTTTCAGGATTACAACTGGTAGGCTACTAACTAAAGAAATTAACATTTTAATAAGTTTATTAATAAAGTTGTCTAGGCGTATATTATCAAATTAAATTAAAGTAATCAATTGAATATAATATAGGATACAAGTTCCTACACATCTCTCGTGTACAGAGGAAGACACGTCTTGTCGGAAACCAAGCCAAAACAGAAAAGAGGGAGAGTCAAAGCAAGACAGTCTCACCCAGGTGAGGTGTGATCACCCCCCCCCCCCATCACGTGGCTCTCTGTGGGCTGCTGCTGCCCAGCAACACAGAGAAGCCAGCAGCGTAATGAGCACAACGATTGAATAATATATAAATGTTACATCCTACCTAATAATATAACTAAGTCAAATAATAATATAAAGCAATATACAGTATTTATGATTTAGCTATTATCGCAAATATAAGCAATATAAAATTATAAGAACAGGTAATATACATTATATACATTGTGACCCACTCAGGGGTCGCAATACCCCCCCAGCACGACAAACGGTCACACTAGGAGTTGCGTTAATGTCTTTCACATGTTTACTGTGATTACTCATGTCACTTTAATAACACAATTTAATATAAAACTAAATCAGTCACTCTTGTGACAACACTTCTTATATTTCACAGTGTCTATTTCACTATAAGTTATGTCCCTCGTACTAGGGCAGTACAGAGTATCTTATCTCTGCATACTCATGGTTATGTGCATCAGTATAGAGACAGGATAGCGTAGACAAGCATGACACGTTGAGGCTCGATCATAGTAGTGGAGACTATTTGAACAGTAGTCTTGTGCTATAGACAGGAGACGGCATTCCACTCTCAAGTAGTGGTAGTGGAATGCGTGGCAGTATGGACATCTGCGTATAAGAAAAATTGAGTGCAGTAACTAAGGTGTGTAGTAAGGGTGGGGGGCTGCAGTGGCAGGACTGTTCCGCCACTCAGTAACTAGCATCGCCCACACAACACTACACACTCAACACTCAGCTTCTGTCTCCTCCTCACACCAACATATATCACCACTACTGTGAAATTAGGACTCCCCAGTACAGGAGCAGAGGAAAGCAGACGCTTCAACCTTGTGAACGAGTCTGAACAATCCTTAGTCCAGATGAACTGAACTTTGCTACTAGTAAGGTCAGTGAGAGGTGTAGGTGGAGGTGTGTGTGTGTTGGCTTGTCTGTCACTTGACACACGTGGCAACGTCGCACATGATCAGCTACTATTTCCTTCATTTTTGGCCAAGTAAAATGTTTTGCCA